GTTGCTCTTATCTTTCCTTATTTTTAAAGTTTTTGTTGACTGACATTGTGGCATGAAATGACTGATTCTAAAGGAATAAGTATTGGAGGACAGTCCCTGGGTCCTGTCCTCAGGGAAGCATCACTGCATGCCCACTCGCAAACAGGGGTCTGGACTTTACTTCATTTATAGAGTTTTGGTCTCAACTGGAGGTAATTTTGCTTCCTAAGCAGAACACTTGACATTCTCTCTCTCTCTCTCTCTCTCTCTCTCTCTCTCTCTCTCTCTCTCTCTCTCTGTGTGTGTGTGTGTGTATATGATGCATATGCCATGGTGTGCTTGCCATGGTCAGAAGACAACTTGTGGGAACTGGTTCCCTCCTTCTTATGTGGTTCCCAGGAATTGAACTCAGGTCGTTGGCCTTGCTGACAAGTGCCTTTAGCTGCTAAGATATTTTTCCAGCTCTGGAAAGATTTCCGATTATCATAACCTTGGTGTAGGTAGGGCCTATCAATACTACTAAACATCCTGCAATCTGGGGCACTCCCACAAGAAACATTCACCCTGTCCTGTGGTAGCAGCAGTTCCAAGGTAGAGACATCTACTATGGAAGTTTGTAAGAACAAGATATCTCCAGGGAAATTGTTTGGACCTTTGTTGTGGGTACCATTTCCTAGGGTCCTCATCCCAGATCAAAGCCAGCTGTGTAACTTGAGAAACTCATTTTCTGGTATCAAAAAACTGATCAAACTCTGCCGGCTAGTTTAATGTTAACTTGACACAAGCTAGAGGCATCTGAAAGGAGGAAAACTGACAATGCCTCAATAAAATCCAGCTGTAGGGCATTTTCTTTTCTTTTTTCTTATGGTTTTTCGAGATAGGGTTTCTCTGTGTAGCTTTGGAGCCTATCCTGGCACTTGCACTGTAGACCAGGCTGGCCTCGAACTCACAGAGATCTGCCTGCCTCTGCCTCCCGAGTGCTGGGATTAAAGGCGTGCACCACCAATGCCCGGCTGGCATTTTCTTAATTAGTGATTGATGTGTGTGTGTGTGGGGGAGGGCAGCCCACTGAGAGTGGTGTCATCCCTATGCTGGTGGTACTGGATTCTAAAGAAAGCAGGCTGAGCAAGCCATGATGAGCGAGCCAGTAAGCACCTCCCCTCCATGGCCTCTGCATCAGCTCCTGCTCTGTTTTAATTCCTGTCCTGACTTCCTTCAGGGATAGATTATGATGTGCAAGTATAATAAGCCAGATAAACCCTTTCCTCCCCAAATGGCTCATGGTCATGGTGTTTCATCACAGGAACAGAAACCCTAACTGAGACATGGACTTAAATCAAAACTCACAGAAATCTGTAAAGAAGCCTCTTTCCACTTCACTAAGTTCTATGCATTGATAAATCACAAGGGTAGAGATTATATTGGCTTTTAGCTCATGTGTTACCTGTTGGTAAGGTGCCTGGGACTCTTTTCACCAGGAAATGCCTCTGGAGCCTGGAGTCAATGCAAGGGAGGTTTTGGAAGTGTTTAAGAATAAAGAACCTCTGAGGGTTTGGCCTTTGACTTTTGAACTGGCCTGGAGATGCTCTACTGTTGGGGCAGAATGGGCTGACTGCCCAGGATAAGAGAATTTTATTTGTATTTCCTGTGCTAGGATAGGTCTTGGCAGCCATTTTGTCCTTCCCAGTTTCCTCCTCTGCCTCTGACCAGCTGCCTTTCATTATCTATATTGATTTTTTCCTCTAATTTACTCTTTAATTTTATTGGCTTGTGAGAGAGGAATTGGTTTGAACAAAATGTGTCATGCACCACTGTATGACAGGGATAATTAATATGAAGATTGCTAGTGGGACACTGTACCTAACTGGTGGCTTTCTTAGTCTAGATGACGCTCAAGAATGTGGTGTGGCAGTGATGGGGACATATAGACTTGTGTGTGGATTCAGAGGACACAGGCCAGTACTGCAATGGCATAAGGAGTATCTGCTTTGATTTACCAGTCACAATTTTGCAGTTTTAGAGGTGACTCCATACAGTTAGGGCCAGGGAAGCTATAGCCAATACTGTGTATTGTTTGCAATCCATTTCCTTTCCTTGGGCTTCAGTTCCAAGATTGCATGTCAAGTGTCTGGATGATGGAAGCATCTATTATGTCACTTACTCTTCACCTTTTCCCCTCAATAATGGAGGTTGTCATTGTGTATGGCTTCTGAATGCTGTAGTGAACTCACCAGGAAATATAGCCAGGCTGGAGGAAATGGCAAAGATAATTCAGTTGTTGTGAAAAGAGGAATTCGGTAGAGAGAATCAGGCCTTGAGGGAGCATGATGGATTTTTGCCAGGATTGGGATGAATCACAAAGTCAGAAACCTGTTCAGTGCTAAACCACCGATGATCCCTTTGTTTGAACAGATCAACACTGACAACCTCAGTAGGCATATATAGAAGCAAGCAAACAGAAAGGGGAGAACACTTCGGATGTCCACACTTCCTTCCTCTAAGTCTGATGCTTTGGGTTATG